CTTGAACCCAGGAGGTGGAGGTTGCAGTAGCTGAGATTGCGCCACTGCACCCCAACCTGGGCAACAGAGAGAGACTGTTTCAAGAAAAAAAAAAAAAATATATATATATATATATATATATATATATATATATATTATATTAATGCGAGAAGTTTTCTATGAAGATTCTGTAGTAGTACTCATGTTATACTTTTCCATAGAATTTTACTTGCTGCCATTATTTTAGGTAATTTACGATAATTACAGTGCAGTTTTAAGTAAGCTCTCTCAGGAATTATTTGCCAGTTGAGGATTCTTCCTTCTTCAGGTGATTTTGGAGAAGAAATACCTTTAGCCTAAACAAAAGTTGAAATGAAAATATTCCGTGATAATAACCATGAAATAATTATTCAAAACTTTGGTAATTTTTACCTATAGTAGAGTTACTTTGATTTCAAAAGCAGTGTCTGGAAGAGAAAGAGGAGGAGATGAAGCAAAAGAAAAAGAAATACACTGGCCGGGCACGGTGACTCACACTTGTAATCCCAGCACTTTGGGAGGCCGAGGCGGGTGGATCAGGACTTGGTCAGGTGATCGAGACCATCCTGGCTAATACGGTGAAACCCCATCTCTACTAAAAATACAAAAAATTAGCTGGGCGTGGTGGTGGGCACCTGTAGTCCCAGCTACTCAGGAGGCTGAGGAAGGAGAATGGCGGGAACCCGGAAGGCGGAGTTTGCAGTGAGCCGACATCGCGCCACTGCACTCCAGCCTGGGCGACAGAGTGAGACTCTGTCTCAAAAAAAAATAAAATAAAATAAAAAAGAGAAAAACACCTCAATATGTATGGTGATGCCCAAAGTTAATGCAATTTTTCTCTGCAGTTATCACAATGGAAAATAGGGTGAAAATAACCAGAATATTTCACCCCTCAACTATACTTCTTTGGTATATTTTGAGATGGCTATTCAGAAGGGTTGCAACTGCAAGAATAGCCCTGAAGACCTATCTTCTGTGATGGAGATTCACATCTGTAGAGGAAATCTACATTAGTGAAGTGAAGTAAATAGTAGATGCAAACAGGCTTTCTCTGGAGTCCCTCTTTATCCAGAGCTAGGAAATATTAACTCATAGGAAAAGGAGACTAAAATCTGACACTTTTAAAGGTCTTACAGAGACATTTTCACCATGTGCTATCATCTTTTCTTCTGAGGGTAGCTCTAAGAGATTGCCTGGAAATCATCATCTGGTAATAAGACAATCTTCGTTTACAACAAAGTTCTGTCCCTCACCTTCCTGTCATCCACCCCAGAACTCAGAGAAACTTGGGCTCAGGCAGCAGCTGTTCTTTGGGCTCATTCATTTCCCCGAAAATAATTTACTCCTGCACCTCCATCTCCCCTCTCCTCAATGAAGAGGGCATTTAAACATCAACCATCGGTTTATTTTTTGACATGTTGTATTTCGTATGACTTCTGTGCACATGTGGGCACATAACAAATTTGTTATGCTTTTCTGTCATTAACCTGTCATTTGTTATAGAAGTGTAGAGTGTGGCTTGTCATAATGAGAAAGAAAGGAATTACTTCCTTTCTGGCACTGCAAATGAGAGTAACCCACAAGTGGTATTCATTGTGGAGATTCTTAAAATATATTTCTCACTGTTCAGGACCTCTGACAGCAGAATTTCATGACTGAATTCCTAAGAATGGCTTTTATCTGCAAGATAACCATTTTCCCCCCAAAACAGAAGGATAACTCAGTGTTCGAATGTGAAACCAATTCAGAGATTTAAATTATATTTTTTGGTAAACTATTAGACCAAATCTGATTACTTTAGATAACAAATGCAGTCTAAGTTTTCTGTTATTGTTTTTGATGAAACATACCTTATGTAAATTAGGACAGCATATACAGTTTCAACAACAGTATAAAAATACTGATTGGCCAAACGGGTTAAAAACTAAAATTTATTAGTAATTTTAAGGGTCCAGTAGATCATTCCTTGATCAAGTTCCCTCTCTTTTTCTCCTCAAAGTTAATATAGTCTTGACTAGCATAGGGTCAAAGAGGAGAAGCTGTTTCTCTCCCTCCAAAGGTTCACTGAATTTGAACTGACGAAAGGTAGATTAATAGGAAAAAGGCATACAAAATTGATTGAATGTGCACATGGGCAAATCACTGGCATGTGATTACTCAATAGTCCAATGAGGTGCAGTTGCTTGTATGTACCCTTCATAGGGAGAGGGGAGAAGGGAATGCAGGCAATTATTTTGACTTTATTGATGTCTCAGAGCCTAGTGAGAGAAGCAGAGGAGCAAGTCATCTCATTATCTTTAACCCTTGTGAATCTGAAAGTGTCTGAAACAGATCTCAATCAACTGAGACACTTTATTTTGACAAGGTTGAGGACCCACCTTAAGGACCTCAGGAGGTTCTGGTGATATGTGCCCAAGGTGATCAGGGTACAGCTTGCCATTATACATTTTAGGGAGACATGAGACATGAATGTACATCTTACACATATTGACTGATGTCTAGTCTCATGTGTCCTTAAAATGTATAAGAGCAAGCTGTAAGGGATTGCAGGGAGCTTCCAAGTCATAGGTAGATAAGACACAAAAGCTTGCATTTTCTTTTGAGTCATTGATCAGCCTTTCACTAAATACACAATTTAGTTTGGCTCAGTGAATCTGCATTTGTACATAAACAGTAGGGCAGAAGAAGAAATCAGATATGCATTTTTCTCAGGTGAGGGGACGGAAGATTTTGGCATCTGTGAAGATAAGCTATCAGTTTACATTGCTGGGGTGAAATTCAAAAAAACTGTTTTAGGGTACATATCTTCAGACCAACAAAGAATTTTCTTGTGGGTAAATTATAAGGGAAGTATGTAGCTTTTTTATCTTTGTAGCTATCTTATTTAGGAATAAAACGGGAGGCAGATTTGCCTGACATAGTTCCCAGCTTGACCTTTCCCTTAGCTTAGTGATTTTGAGGCCCTGAGATTTATTTTCCTTTCACACCGTTTTGCATTTACCCTGCTACATAATCAGTTTTTCCACATGTTTCATGCTAGATTCAAATCTCAGCTTCTCTTACAGAAAGAAAAGATACCAATTGAATTTCACCTAAATCTGCCATCTAAAATGACAAATTGATTAATGTGATTAAAATGGGTTTCTGCAATATTTTATAGAATGCTTTTAATGTAAGTACTTACATCCTTTACCATTCATCATCCAAGGCATTTGTTTAAAATTTAAAATTCTCTCTCAAGTTTCTCTTGATGTCAACTGTGCCAAAATTTGTCACTTCATTGAGCTAAAATTCTCTTACACTCTACAGCTCGGATCTGAGAAACAGCTTGCCATCTTAAACAAGAGAAGCAAAATTTTCTGTGTGATTCCTGACTAACTTGTTCTGGGAAATGCCTAATCAGTTTGTCAGTCACTTTAATCCTGCTGTATCAGTGAAGCAGGATTATTTCCCTGACCCTCTCATGGGACTTACAACAGGGGTGCCTGGCTTACTCAGTCTGTAGCACTCAACTCTTTGTGGGAGGTGGTGCATGAATGAACAAGGTGGGAACTGGAGTGTGTGAAGGCCAGAATCAGCTGGCCACTCCTTTGCCGGTAAGAGTGAACTCCACTCATTCGAACCGACTACATTCCACCCACTATGGGAGACAGTGCAAGGGTGAACAGATGCAGAAACTAGGGCAAGCACTTTTGGGCACCAGCAGGAACCAACTCTGTGCTGGCCTCACGGCAGCATCTAGGGGAGGTGCCCATGATCTCTGAAGCCTCAGAGAGAGTGTTACAGTAATCTTTTAGCTCTGCCATTGTGGAGGGCTTAAGTGTTAACAGCTCAATGGACCTTCTGCCTTTTCCTAGGCAGGTCAATGGAATAGCCTTTTGCATCTGCACTTGTGGCACCCGAGCTCTTGTCTTGTGCCCAGGAGAAATGAGGTTGAATGAATGAATTGAAGGACGGTAAATATAGGGGATTTTGTTGCTGATGAAAGTGGCTCTCAGTGGGAAGGGGAGCTGGAAGGGTATGGGACTGGTGGTAGTCTTAACCTGAAGTCGAGCTGTCTCTGGCCAGATTCTTCTCCAAAGTTACACCATCAGGCTCTCCCTCTAAAATCAAGCCACTTCCCTACGATGTCCAGCTGTAGTTTCCAGTGTCCCACTGCTTCTACTCTGTGCCAGCTGAGTCTGGTGATGGGGAGTGGGGTGGACCATGGGTGGCTTTGGAAAAGGCAACATTTGAATGGAAAAACAGGGATGTACGTTCTCACTTTGGGCTGTGGTATCAAGCTTGAGGGTGGGGTTTTGTTGGAGAAGCTGCCCTTTTCTGCCTAGAGTTTCTCTGCCTTCTGTCCCTATCATCAGGCTGAGATTTGTCCAGTCAGATCACACTCTGCAGGCCGTCAGCTGGTAAACTCTTCATGCCTACTCCATTTTAATACTTCTGCATTACTGGGAGATTTGATATGGCCTAAACAAGTATTGTCTTGTCCATCTTGAATTATTTTTCTCATGGAATCTAATTATCCATCTGGTCATAGAGACACTGCTCATTGCAGGGAAACCAAAATGAACTATTTTAAAGCTCTTTTTATACTTTAAAACCTTTGTCAAAAATAGTAATATCTTCATTATAATTATATATCCATACAAAATAAAGTATCATTATATGTTATTGCATATTGTTAATATTGTTATTGTCAAATTTATCCAACTATAATCATGTCTTCCAGAGCTAGCAATGGACTATAGGCTGGTTACCTATCAACTCTTACTTGTTTAACATTTTAAACTGATGCTTTATCTTAATATTGTTCTTAATTGAACATCATTTTATTTTAACCCTATAATATTTTTAACATAGTACAGAACGTTACTTTTTAACATGTTTTTCATAAAGTTTTTTTTCTATATACTGGTACAGTTTAGTCAGACTAATATGGGTGTGTTGGTTGCTGCTGCAGGTGCCAAAGATATAGAGATACTCACGTGGTTTGAATGAGGGTTCACAGCTGAGAGGAAGAGGGAGCGCAGAATCTTTCTATAGTGGTTCAGAAGCACTGCCCTGGTATCTGAAAAACAGTGCATTCTTATGGCCTATATGCTCATCTAAAACAACATTTAACAGAATCTTTCCTTTTTTTTTTCATGTTCAAATTGTATTTTTATCTGTGTGTGCTTGTTTTTAACCTGAGAGCAGCTCACTAACAGGGATATTGTCTGGATTTTGGAAGGCCTACTTTTTACAAAAATCAATTTTAGAGATGCTCCTAAGTGCCAGGCTTTAATTTCACAAAATATATCTAAACTTTTAAAGGTTCATTTTGCAGTAATTGAAGATCTAGGAATATTTATTTTTCAGTTCTTCATTATCATTTCTTCGTTATTAAGCGGAAGCGAATGGATATTAATTAATGACCATAACAACAAATAGAGGTTAATTGAACCATATATATTTTTAAAGTTTTAAAGAGCTCATAACTTGAACACAAACACTTACAGAAGAGCCAGTTCTTAGGATGACCTTCTAAATGATTTACTTGGAGATCTGAGATGTATATTTTTAAAGTTGAATATGTTAGCCAGGAGGATACACACACACAAATGTGTTCTTTCCTTGATACGTATCCTCCAGAGCCCAGCAGGCATCAGGAAAAGGACTCCAGGGAACATTGCTGAAAGGACTGAATTGGCTTAAGAGGCAGACAACCAAACCTAGCTAGGGAGTTTTGGGCTACATCCCAGACAGTTTATTTAAAAAGCAAAGGGGATAAAAGTTCTCCAAAGATCACATGCTAGCTATGCCTTAAAACTGTGATTTTAATTCTGTGGTGCTGAAACTGTGTCAAATAGCCTATAGCAAGATATGTCCTATGTGCTGCAAAATGATGCAAAATAAATACTCACTGTGTTTTGAGAACAAACTCATTAGTAGAGGAAACACTGTACTTTACACACCCTAAGGATATTTGAGTGTTCACATAGGCACGTAAATGTTGATGTGAAGTGTCATTCATAGGTGACGGTAGCTATATATTTTTTCATTAACATAACTATTGGATTTCTATTAAATTGAGTAAGGCTTTATGAGATCTGTTGGTTTAGGAAAAAAACACCTAGATAAAACTAATTATAAAAATGGCCGTAATTTTCATTTTCAATGACATTTTCACTTTCAAAAATATTTTTACTTTATCATTTGAAGAATAAAACCCTGTTAAATAAGTAATATTATTTTTAGCCCAATTTCACAGGTAGAGGAATTAAGGGAATCGAAATTGGAATTTCCCAGGACTCTGACATGAAGATTTGTATGCATGGCATTTATTAAGAAGTACAGGTTGGGCACGGTGGCTCACACCCGTAATCCCAGCACTTTGGGAGGCTGAGGTGGGTGCATCACCTGAAGTCAGGAGTTTGAGACCAGCCTGGCCAACATGGTGAAACCTCATCTCTAGTAAACATAGAAAAATTAGCTGGGCATGGTGGCATGTGCCTGTAATCCCAGCTACTTGGGAAGCTGAGGCAGGAGAATACCTTGAACCCAGGAGAGGGAGGTTGCAGTGTGCCGAGATTGCACCACTGCACTCCAGCCTGGGAGACAGTGAGACTCCATCTAAAAAAAAAACAAAAAAAAACAAAAAACAAAAAAAACAAAACAAAAAAAGACGGAAGTATACTTGGGATCCACATCTGTAGAAGGGAGGAGAGAGAAGGAAGATCAGCAGAGAAGTTGATATGCAAGCTGATGCCCTGAAGCTCTCAGCAGACATCATGCAGATCTGGCATCACCCTCAGAGGTCAGATCTCAGGGGCATTAGACTTGCATGTATCTCCCCACCATGATTAGTCATGTAAAGAGGCAGGAAGGCTGCTTTTTTTTTCAGCTTCACTGATCCCCAAAGAGACTGACAGCTAAGGATGGTTGCATGGTAGCATTCCTAGCAACTAGGAAATAAGTTCTTTATTCTTAAAGGGTTACCTGGTTGTCACAAAACAGCATGCAACACAGAGGGTATGGAGTTACAGAGACAAAAGGTGTATGTAAGAAGATGATGTAGTTTGAATGTATGCCTCTGCCAAATCTCATCTTGACTGTTGGAGGCAGGGCCTGTTGGAAGGTATTTGGATCACGAAGGTGGATCCCTTAGGAATGGCTTGGGCTATCCCCTTGATGATAAGTGAGCTCTCACTCTGAGTTCACATGAGATCTGGTGGTTTACAGGTGTGTGGCACCCCTGCCCCTCTCTCGCGCACGCTTGCTTCTGCTTTCATCATGGAATGTGCCTGCTCCCTCTTCACTTTGCACCATGATTGTAAGCTTCCTGAAGTCTCCCTAGAAGCCAAGCAGATGCCAGTACAGTGTTTCCTGTAAAGCCTGCAGAAACAAGAGCCAATTAATCCTGTTTTCTTTATAAATTATGCAGTCTCGGATTTTTATAGCAATGCAAGAACAGCCGAATAAATAAGACAAACTAGATTTTATAATTCTAATTTCTATTTCTGTGTTACTGCACCCTGAAATCTCCATGTTTGCTCTTTGTAAATTGTTCTATCATTTTTACCAATCTACATGACTTCACTTTCCATTCATAAACTTATCTAGAACTGAGCTTTTAAACAACATCTAACTGTAAGCAAAGAAGTTTGTTTGCAGGTTACAAAAATGAAGCAATATTAGCAAAATTTATATTTAGCATTTTCATTTTCTGAGCTGACAAATGTGCTCAAATACGTTTAAAAATATTATATATGCATCTATTTAAGAACAAGGGCATAAACAACTGCAAATAGTGATATTTTTAATCTGAAGCATCTCTGCATACCAACAGGAGGACTGATAATTATTAAAAAAAAAAAAAAAGAAAAGAGAATATCAACCTGACAAGGGACCAACCTATTATGCATCCCCAAGTTTCTTTTTCTCTGACTACATGGTAGTGATTAAATCATGAACTATACACTTATTCTTGAACCCAGAATAACAGGATAATACAAAGAGCAAGCATTTAGAGAAATATTCATTTTCTAAAAGAGTGTAAATAGTTTGGTTTAAGGTGGATTTTTCAGTGCAGGAGCTTGAGTAGGATTGGATAAGTTAAGTAGTTTAAGATCAGTGAAAACAGCAAGGTGAAAGTTTTGGGGCAAGAGGTTCAGACAGTCTTAGGGCATAAACCTCAGTGAATGTTGTCTACTGAAAAGCTGATCAGTTTTCAGGGAAGTTCCTAAATTGAACACTCAAGTTCTTTGGACAATAGTCTCCTGGATTATAGCAAATTCACGTAAATGTAGACAGTTGTGTTTGAGGGAAGATGATTTCTTTCTCACAGTGAAGAGAGTATTAGCCAGTTAAAATGCCAGCCCTTGGATCTTAGCTGCTCCACAACTAGCTGTGGGCTTTGGACACATCTATTAATTTCTCCATAAGTCAGTTTTCTTGTTTGTGCTTATCTTACATCAGAAGTTAGTCATGAGGATTAAACAGACAACACTAGAAACAATTGGAAGTGTTCCTAATACATAGTAAGTAGGTTATTACTATTTTCCTCACTCCCCTTACCATTCATTTGTATCATATACACAATCCCACACATATCTGGTTCTTTTTGGCAAGAGCTAAGGACTAAGGACTAAGGAAAAGTAAATGATGAAGTTGATTTAGAGGTTTATAGTATTGAAGCATTTACATCATTGACTATTTATGTGACATATATGTGCGTGTGTGTACATATCAATAAAGTTATTTTTCATGGCTCCGCTAACTCTATAGAAGTAAAATGGCACATAACAGATTGCCAACAAGAAGAAAACACTGGAAAGTATCTAAGTTTTTGCTTAGCACACCTGTCAGAAATTATCCCAGTCTCCTGATATTTTCATGAATACTAACTCATCTTGCTGACATGTTTCTGTTTTCCTATGAAAGATGTGGCAATTCACTGTCATTGTGATTATCAAAATAATCAAGGGTCAAGTTACAGTGGAACCAGAAAACAAGGTTCATAATATCCAGCTTGTTTATTCCTTTATTCTTCCAAGAAATATTTATTGAGTACCTATTAGGAATCAAGCAAGGTTTGTATGCTGGGGAGAAAAATGGCCAGTGAAACAGACTATGTCCTTGTCTTGATGGAGTTTAGGTCTCATGGAAGAGGAAAATAGGAATCACATAGTCACACAAATAAATACTTTTGTACTACGCAGGAAATAATAATCTTGGAGAACTTCCTGGAAGAAATGCCAGATTAGATTAGATTAAGATCTAAAAGATGGGAAGTTGTCTTCTAAATCAAAAAGGATGAGGATCCAGGAATGATTGTTCCAAGTGTAGAACTTAGAACCTGCTGTGGCACTTGCTATGTTGGGAAGAAACCTAATTCAGTAAATGGCCTGAAAAAAGGCCAGTGTGATCAGATTGCTGAGAGGCAGAGAAAGTGTTGAATGAAATCGAGGTTTGCACATCGCAGAGGTCAGACTACACAGAATTTGGAAGTCCACCTGGAATCTTGCAGGTCATATGAAGAATACTGACCTTTTTCTAAAAGTCACTCTGGGATTTTAAAAAGGTTTGGGAAAACAGGATGGAGAACAAGAACCCACATGATATACAAGGAAGGTAAGGGTAAACTTAGTGATCGTACCCTTTTGGGAAGTAATTAAAGTATATATCAAACTTCTTAAAGAGTAATTCTTCCTTCTCCTTTGACTTTCCCTGTTTATGTCTGCAGTTGGCTTACTGCTGCATTCACATTTATAAAATTGTGACTGTGTTTATGATACGAGCTTGGAGTTAAAGAACTGAGGATCAATGTGAAAATACCACATCAGGGTCCATTTACAGAAATGTAATAGTACTAGAATTTAATTCACTGTGAAAACTGTAAATAAAAATATACAGCAATAAGAAACAAGTAATTAGAGAAAGTTACAATCTTTTTTTTATTGGATATTTGATATACTTTGACTCATTTGTACTCTTAGTTTATTTTCAGTTGCTTGTAAAAAAGACACTGTTAACAACAATTGAAGCAGAACTCCAACTAACATAATTTGTTTTGAATTTGAAAAAGCC